TACCAACATTTGCGAGACCGACAGAACTGTTATTGTTGTGGAATATGCAAATATTGATACAAAGATTACTGTTTAATATTAAATCATTTGCTTTGTCAAATATTGATATATCTGAAAACTAGCAAATTTTAAATATTCACATAACTATCCACATTTTGGAATGGAATCGCCCTAAGGTGTTGCTATAGAACATTCTAAAGTAAACAAAACATCTTCTCACTGACTCCACTTTTTGTTTATTGTCAGAAATAATCAAATATCGTAGATCGGAATAGTTTAGTTATCAATATCGATAATGTATACATAACATACCGGTACACTCATTGCAAGATTGCAGAAAAAAGGATGTTATATTATCTTTTGATTCAGAGTTTCACTCTATGTGCAGTTGTTAAAAAGACAAGGGTCAAAAGATATCATGTGGTACTGATTTAAAACCACAAACTACTGCCACAGTTAAAACAATGGGACACCACGATTAACAGTTACTCATCTGATAATTATAAATATTATTTGCATATCGTGCCCTTATGTTGTGAATATATGGTAATTACCAACCTGGTCTGCCAGTTCTTTTAACCAAGCTCGCTATCCCTTAGCTTACATTATTGTTAATGTTAATTGGCTCAAATGCCAAAAACATTGTCTTAGTTCTGTTGATGCACACTGCATCTGTTATGAAATATCTTTCTATGATGTCCGCAATGAGCTTTATAAATAATGCATGTTTTCCTTAACGCATTGATTACAGCAGATAAGGATTGTAACCCTCCAAAGAGACCACTTATATTTGATTCACCAGAGTTGCATCTTCCACTCTCGTAGCAAGAAGACTTCCACCTTCCACTCTCACTCTCGTAGCAAGAAGACTACTACCTTCCACTCTCACTCTCGTAGCAAAAAGACTTCCACTGTGAATTTGAAGACATTATTTTATATCACCATTTCCAAGAAGATGAACTTGGATGACAAAGATCCAAACAACAAAAATGCATTATTTTTTTACCATCATGACCAGGGCTTTCTAGCAGGATATGGACACTGCAAAGTTGATACTATCGCTGTTCTTGTGAATACACTGTTAAATCTTCTTGTTATCACATGCATGTGATGTAAATCATGAATATCTACATTTTTTTTCCATTCCCACTTTGTTAGATTACCAGAGGTTGGCTTCCAGGATTCAATCATGTCAATTCAAATATTTATTTTGGCTGCGATATTATTTGCTTAAAAGAGAAAAAAAATTCCAACATATTTACATACGAAACACTAAAGCAGTGTTAAGTTTTTAAAATTACTCATTTATTGTATTTTTTTTCCAATGAGGACAAGATTTCAATAAACTTGTTCATACAATTGTCATGAATCTGTGCTGTGAAATTTGCCATATACTGAGAAAATGTTATTAAACTATATAGTACCCATAATGTACAACTAATTTTCCTCGAAAGCAACTTAATACTCTCAAAATACACACAATCTAAATGCTTGTGTATGACAGTGCCCTCTATTGGCATAATGGTTATTAGCCATCGTCTGTCCAGAGTGATTTCTCGGAGATGGCTGGACGGATTTTATTTTCCCATATGTTCTTTCGCCTTCGTCCATACAGGGGTGATTTCTCAGATGGCTGGACGGATTTTTTTATTTTATTTTCCCATATGTTTCAAACTTGCTACAAACTACACGTCTGTATGATAGCACCCTCTAGGGTCATATTTTGGTTTAGATCTTCGTCAAATGTAAATTTCAAAACTTCCAAAATCAAGTGACATACAACAGCCTTTCCAGTTAAAAACAAAACCATTGCAATGAAGATTACATAAAATGTTTAACAATGCGTCTATGCATGACTGACAGACATTTGAAAGTGCAGAAATGCTCGATTTCGATGAATTTAACGTTAAAACTGCTATTGAGCCATCTTGAAATAGTTAATGTGTACATGACAAAATGACCACCAGTTGGCCATTTTGAATCCAATCTGAAACATAGTTGAACTCTGGTGGTGGGAAAGCAGTCTTATGAATGGCTTTGATAGATGTAAATATTTCACAAAAACATTGGTGTCTAAATTGTTTATTATAATTATTTCAAGGGACATAATGTCCAGCTTTATTCAAAGTAATTCAGATATTTTAGTATAAAAAAAGTGCTGCATTTAGACATGCAAGATAACAGAAAATCGTGTTTTGCAAAAAAAAAATGATTTACTGAGACAACTGTAAAGTAAAAAAACACCTACTAGAAACTCTCATTGCTAGCTCTGCTTTGTATACAAATAAACTCAAATAGTTGTAGTGATTGTAAAGCATACTGCTAATCAGTGGACAGATGCTGAATTACCAAAGAATGCAAATAGTTGGTGTCGAAAGAAGTCAACAGTACATCTTCAAACACTACAATCTTTGTTTTTAAATCAAAGGTTTGGCACCCAAATCATAGGAGTGATTATATCGATTTTCTGGGTAGGTTTGCAAATGTGTATCAGACTGTGCAACTACTCTCTCCACAAATTGGCATTGAAACCCAGTCTAGTATTCCCATGGGATTTGCTTCATTGAACATATACAACAATGCATACTTCTACCGAGACCAGTGATCAGTCATCTTTTCACACAGGACATCTGTCGTTCATCCTAAGGGAAGATTTTATACTAATGAATTAGGTGAACAAGTTTGGAATAGAATTAGTAAAGTTATTGTGCACACAATACTTATTAACGACAACAGACTTTTTTTCCCCTTCCAACTTTAAATAATGCGGGCAAGGTTTCATGTCTGACCCAAATCCGTCCAGATACTTGATTTGGATGAATTTTTAACATAATGGTAAAATAAAGATTGACCTGACCTATCTCTGGATCAGCATTTGTTGAAACAAGGCCACATCAAGGTTCTACAATGTCTGAAATTCTTGATATATTGTGAAGTTTGAATGTGATCGAACCAGGCATGTCCAAGGTACATGTGGAGTCACGCAGACATCTAAACACAAGTCCCCATCTGAACAGGGACTAATAAATGTACACAATATCTGTGCGCCAAAGTATGACATTTATTCCAATACGTACAAAATAAAAGGATACAAAGTTATTAAATTATATTTAAATTGTCACACATTGCTAATTTTTACAAAACAGTTGTCAAAAGATGAGTTCTGTGAAATAAAGGATGTTGTCGATTACAGTCACTGGTTAATTACACTTGAAACGTACAACACCATGAAATTTGACATTTCATGCAAAATATTAGATGTGGATAATGACATTGAATCTAACTGGTGTAACTACGGGGTCTCATCTGAGAAAAACAAAAGATGAATTTTCAATTTTGTCCCGCCCTTTCAATCATCCCTGTCGTACAATGAAATAATGTAATACAGTTATAGACAGGATGGTTTGATGTTTCTTTAGACATTTTAATACACAGACAATGAAAAATTCCACCAAAGCTGTATGATTTCTGCAGTATCCCCATGCTCTATTCAATTGACAGTAATACAGTAAAGACATGCAAAGAGTAGACCATGTATAGATATGACAACCAAGTAGTACAACACATAGATACACAGAGGAGAAATAATTGACAAGAGTAATGTACAAAATTTAGCATCAGCTGTTTGGAGTATGGAAATGTTGAGCTTAAACCACTATGCAGTTGTCGGTGCAGCACTCCCGGCTCCTTCTCTACCTGTGGCTTTCTTGGTACCAGAGACAATATCATCAATACGTAGCAGTAACATGGCAGTCTACAAAAAAAAAAAAAAATGAAATTTACATAAAGTGTAGGCTTGCGCTGATTATTCAAGTACTTGGGAGGAAAAGTTTTTGTTCTCACATGTTTCTGTTTCAAACATGTGCCTTGCACATTTTATTGGGAATGCTTCTGAGGATGTTTTGTCAATTCAAATAAACCTTTAATGCACGTGTTCAAAATAATAGTACATTGTAAATAACTGTTAAACATGCATCTTTGTAGTATTAATCTTAATACGAAAAATATTAAAACCGCATAACTGCCCCATTTTTCAACTTTCCCTGAAACGAGATGCCTTGTGTAAGGTGATGTTTAATTCTAGGTTAAAAAAAAATGAAATTTGTAAATTTCATTAGCAAAATACAATACACACAGGGTTTGGTTCTAGAAAAAAACTGCAAGAGGGAGCACTGCAATTCAGCATGCCACAAAGTGGGGGGGGGGGAGATAGGGTATTCCCTACCAAGTTAAAATGGAGCATTCTATGGCTTCTTTGGGGCCAAAATTACTGTCAGACAGGTCACAGTTGAAGACTGTGGCCACATGTGATTCCTGGTCATTCTGAATTTTATGGTTGCCAGAAGATCTGCTTTCTTGGGTAAGGGGCGCATAGCCGTGACATCTAGGCGCTGTGCCCCTGTTTAAAAAAATCCCTGATACACATAACACATCATGTGTATTATTTTCTCAAGTGACTGCCCATTCAGGACTGGTTTGGTTAAAAGAACCAGTCTATAAAAGCCAAAATAACAAGATCATTGTATGTTTAGTATTTATATTTTCAATTTCATCATGCTATTTTGTATTTATTCTCATCTCAAATATCTTTCAAGAATCAATCTCCATACATAAAGATCTTCTAAAAGAACAAATAAGTTGAGCTGTATTTAAAACAGTGAAACATTGAGCTAAATTCTAAGCCTTTCTTGATAGATTGTTTTGAAATAATGCACAATAAACCATTCAGTGAAGTGGCTGGCAATGTTCCAAACTAGCACCCACAGTAAACATTTTTCCCTTGTCCCGAAAGTTCTACAAGTTCTTGATGTTTGAGACTGATTCTGGCTTGTTCCCATCAATATTTACTAAGTGTGTTTCCCATTTACTGCAGTTCTTGCTATGTTTCATAGAGATTCAAATATGATATTTGAAAACTTACCTCCATGGCTGTTTTGTATGTTTGCACCTTGACAGAGAAGGGTTCCCAGACTCCAAAATCCTTCATATCAACCAGAGTACCTTTCTCACCATCAACACCCCAAGTTATATTGTCAGTATCAGTGTGTTTTGCCTGTAACAAAACATTAAGTACTGTGAAAGACTGGCATTAAATTTCACTATTTTGATATTTTGCCAAACTTTATGGGTTTTAATAAGTTCAAAAAATTTGTAGTGAAATAATCAGTTCTTTTGTTATTTTACATGTTCATGTGAATTTAATTCAGCAGATTTAATTTATCAATGAAAATAACAAATTTAAAAATCAGTGAATAATCAATGTATTTACAGTAACATAACCACACCAACCACAAATCCATTGTTGTCTGAAATCGAGAGAAAATTCAAAGTACCGATATGTCTAACCATTCAAAATTTGCTAGTGTGTTTGTTCAATCTAGCATAATATGAAATATAGAACTGTTAATTGGCTTTCTCCATGAGTAAAGCGAAAATAACGACACTTACCCTCAAAGCTGTCAATGTACGTATGGTGTTACCACCACAATTCTGAATTAAGGTTCTTGGAATTACTTCCAGAGCTCTGCTAATAGCCTTATATGGCCACTGTTCAACACCGGTGATGGTCTTGGCTTTCTCATTCAATAGCTAAATAATGATAAAAGATTGATGGGAACATTGAGATGATAAAATGGGTGTGATAAACTAACAAGTAGTACAGACAATATCATTCATTTCATGTTATTATTATTCATGAAGATGTTGATTCAGACAAACTTAAAGGAAGTATTGATAAAGATAGGCATAAAATGCAAAATTATGTTAACATTTACAAAGTTTTTGAGGTGTACACTAACTACTGGTGTCAACAATGAGTGACATAAGCCACAAAACTAAACATTCACTTATCACACATGTTGCTACTTTATACATTTCCTGACCTGCAAGCCATTTTTTTAAAGGTAGAACAACACAGCAGCAGCATCAGAGGATATCATCTGAATATTGCTTTTCTTTTTACGAGGCACATACCAACTAGCCAGACAAAATCAGTATGAATCAGTTAACGTCGTCACCCAGATCAAGCGAAATGTGACAGGACCCAATACATAGAGACAGCTAAAAACTTACATGAGCCAAAGCCATTTCGGTTGCCCCGCCTCCTGGTACAAGTCGTGAATCTACCATAACATTACGAGCAACATTCATAGCGTCTTGAAGGTTACGTTCCAATTCATTGAGAATATCTTTACTGGCACCTCGTAGTAAGATTGTACACGCCTTGGGATCCTTACATTCAGTGACAAAACAAAAATACCTGAAGACAAAAACAAAAACAAATTTTTACTATTTGTTTTAAAGTGTTACATACACTGCCACTTAAATGTACAAATTGCTATATAAAATGCAGATATCTGCTGAACTTAAAGTGATTAACAGCATGACCCATGTTTCTTATGTGAGCTATTTATTGAACTTATTTTTATGATTACATTAGTCAGCTTGCCATGATTTTTTAGTTGTACAATGTCAACAACATTTGGCCATTCCATAAAGTTCTATGCACATCAGTGAAACTGCATTGACAATTAGCCTAGCAGGAGCTTATCCCAAAACGCGAGACACTAGCAATTATTCAGAAAAAATATATGCTTTCAATCTTTCATTATGTGCATCTAAGGTTAAAAATACTGTAAAAAAACCTGATCATCTATTTGTATCATTTGGCAAGTAAAAAACATTTTGCAAAATATTTTTAGAAGACAAACAGCTTTTAGACCAGCTGTTGGGCTAGAAATGGTATTCTAAACAGATTTGATTGTGGAAAGCTGTATCCTTTTCTACAATCCATGTTTAGGTCTTGTGTGGGCTTCAACAAGCTCACCATGGAGCCTCAGTTGTATTCGCTCCAATAAACTGATTACTGGAGTAATAATACCATGACCTTAATTTTCTATTTTTCAATAAGTGATTTTTAACATTTCTAATTTTCTAATATGCCTTTATATTGTCAACTTAGCTAACTACTTTAATATGGGATTGCCCAATTATTGTCATTGACTCGTCAATGCTTGTGATTATTTGCATCATTGTTTACAACAAAATAACAGAAAAAAAAATTGCATTTCTCTGGGTGCTACTAATATGGCATTCCTAAACTATTAATGAAATGGTACTCACTCGTCTCCAAACTTTTGTATTTCAAAAAGACCAGCCCCAGTACCGATATCTTCTTCTCTCAACTCATCAGTGCGATTCACAACGGTGGCACCACATGCCCTATTAGACAAAATAACATTTATAGTAAAATCAATCCTATTGTATTATCAGTATTGTCATTGTACAGTAGGGAAAAACCGACCATCCAATAAGCTCACAATTTATTACCATGAAGTACCCAATGTTCAATTCACTAAACCGATGCACGTCTGATTTGCAAGTATTTACACAACAATATTTTGGCAAAAACATACAAAATTGTCAGTAGATGTATCTATTGCTTTCAAAAATTTCACATAGAACACTGCTTTGATTTTTCCCAGCTGATTACGCAAGCGCAACAATGGAAATTAGAAAAGAACTTTTTGACCAGTGTTTTTAACGCCCATTTCTGTCACATACACGCTAAACCAATTAACATCATTTCGTACCTTGCTATTCGGTTGTTATCAGATTTCCGGACTCTACGAACCGCTGTGATATTAGCTTTAACAAGATAATGCTGAGCTAAATCAGAAATACCCTTCTCAGTGAATAATACATCAGGTTTAAATCGAATAATATCTTCACAAATTTTCTGAATGTATTCTTCTTCTAATTGTAAAATCCGTGAGAAATCCGTATCCTTGGTGATTTCTAGATTAGTCTGTGGGTAAAAGAATCATAGATGAGAACATTAACACACGACTTGAACTTGAAACTAAACATGCCTTGAAAGAAATATTTTGAAATTCATACTTGATCTTGGAAAAACCACAAAAGTTATTGAACAGAAGAAATAACATCTTAGTATACTACAATGATACACTACTGTGAGCACTTAGTATTTTGATATTAAATTGTAATCAAAACTAGCACAGTACAATGTAACAGGTGGTTTTACGTTCACTGCGAGATCCCACGTACTGCGAATAAGGTATGGACTGAACGTCAGTCGCAAAAAAAAAATTTGATTTTTTTTGTAGCTAAATGTCAAATGCAAATTTTTAGAACAAAATTATGGCATTGAGATACTCTAATTTTATTGAAAGGGACCATCATCAAAAAGATGCCCCAAATAATTTTGCACTTGTTGAATCCGTGTTGTGACATCACTTTAACCCTTTGCGCCCAATGCGGCCATATACGGCCGCTTATTTCTGACCAAAGATAACCCAATTCGGCCGTAAAAGGCCACCCGTTAATGCACTGTCAAAATCCCAATGCGGCCGTAAACGGCCGGTATTTCATAGATTGAAACAGAAGTTGATTCTGATCTCCCCTGATCTTTGCATGAACAAATAAATTGTTGATGAAAATAATTCGAAATACAGGTACGTCCAGACTGAAAGTTATATACGAATTGTCCTCGTACAACAGGTTTTTCGGATGGTGTCTGTGAAGAGCTGTGAAAATTTGCATAAATAAACAAACACAGCGGCATGTTTGGTGAAAGTTCATTTATTCTACCGCAGTTTTTATCCAAAATAAACGCATAATACATATACAATTTATATTCATCTGAACTGAAAACATTATTTAAATAAATTACCTATATAAAATGTTGTTTTTCCTTGTTGGCGAGTTTTTAATGTCGAAAAATCAGACTGTCATCGCAATCAGTCTTGCGTCCCAGTTTCGTTGCTATTTTTCACTGCAAGTCCTTATTTCCACTGGATATCCATGTATTTTTTTCATTCAGTGTTCAAATATCGCTTTAAAATGGGGGTTTTAAACGGGAATATCCAATGACCTCTGTAGGCCAAACGA